TGTCTCCGCCCACTGGCCGCGGCAGCTCTCGGGCCGGGGGTGCGGCGCCCATCCTGGCAGTCCCGAGCCCGAGGCGCGACTCAGCGGGAGGGAGGCGAAGGGCCGCCCGTGCTGCTGTCCCCGCCCCGCGCGCCCTGCGCCCCACTTCCCAGGCGGCCGCTCGGAAGCTCAGCCCTCCTGCCTCTCCCAGGGCTGTCCGGTACTCGTCGGGAAGCCAGCAGCCGGCAAGTTTCGTCGCACGCAGGCGGCGGGCCGCGGGCACCGTGCGCTCCGGGAAGGGTGGCCGAGGCTCCGGGCTCAGCGCCCCGCGCGCACTTCGGCGATGGCTTCTCCGCCGCGGCGGCGGCTGAGCTTTCGCCCCGGCCGCCTACTGTTACTTCTCTCTGAATTCCTGCTGCCTCTTTGCGACGCCTTCAACCTAGACGTGGACAGTCCTGCTGAGTACTCCGGCCCTGAGGGAAGTTACTTTGGCTTCGCGGTTGATTTCTTCGTGCCCACCGCGTCTTCGTAAGTGGCCGCAGTTGGAAGGGGAGTCGGCCCCCTCCCCCATCGCGCTCACCCACCCGTGATTCTCCTCAGGGAGACATCTCTGCAAGAGATCCCCGCGTGTATCTGTCCGTTCCCCCTTACTCCCCCTCCCCCCACTGGGCGATTTAGGTTGTGGGTGGATGAAATAGTTGGGGGAGATGAACCCCCGCACCACCCACCACCCAGTTCCCCCTTCTTCTTTCTTCAGAGGGAACACTTTGAAGCAGACCTGTGCTTAAAATTAGGGGAAAGTGGCAAATCAACAAAGGCTGGTCCGGCGGGACGCCGCGCCGCCTCTGCCAGCCCCGGGACTTGGTCAATTTCATCTCCGAACTTCTTTTTCTCCGGTACCAGTTAGCCTTCTCCGTACTTTTCTTTTTTTGCTTTACAGACTTAAAACACCCGTGGTTTTTGCTCTCCCTTAATAAGCCCTCCCCCATTCTTTACACCTCTCAGTCTGATTCTATTTCTCCTCATTTACTTCTTTTCCAAGACATTCTGATGACTAAAGTGACCATTCCGTCGTAGTCAATTCATTGTGTCTAATCTCTGAGACTCAGTTCTCTGCACATTTGAGGGTGAACAGATGAATTGAATGTGTCATCTGTTCTTTTTATAGTGATTCATTATTTAGGTCATTGTTCAGAAAGAACAAGGGTGTTTGCTGAGTTTTCACTGACTACAGGTTATTTGAATACTGTAGTATTTAAGAATTCAGTTGTTTCAGATTGCCAACGTTTCGCGTTGCTTAGGATTTGGAGCAGAGTTATTGTCATTATTGGATTAGAAGTTGTCTCTGACCTTACCGAATGCTGACATCATTCTTACCACCCCACCCCCTTTTTAGCTTTAGAAATACCGATTAAGTAAGTGTTCATTGGATATCTTCCGACGTTTAAAAGGAAGAACTGTTCTTAGGTTCTTTCTAAGCTCTTAGAAATTTTAGCAACATAGTTTTGTTTCCAAATTCTCTCTGTATTTTGAAGTTTGTTTTTTTTGTTTTTGTTTTTGTTTTTTTTTTTTTGGAGGGAGAAGGAGGATAATTTTAATGGCCAGTACTTTTTAGGACCATTTTTCCTATTCATACATGCCTAATTTGAGACTGATCTTAATATTTTCCCGTGACTGTTAGAACATTCAGCAGGATTTATTCTTTATGAATGTTGCCAAATATCATTCATTTTGGTGACAACCTTTGCAGCAATAAATAGGTTGAAAGGCAGTTAGAGGAAACTAGTAGTGAACTCAGTTTGTTTGTTGTTTCCAGCTTCAGTGCTTTCTATGAGACCTGAGCACAGATTTTCCAAAATAAAAATAATCATTAACTTCAGGCAACATTTACTGTCTTCTCATTTGATTTAATTGTTTTGTCAGCCTTTTCTGTTATTTAAACTTTCTCTTTGTTTCCAGATATTTTTAAGTGTATGCCTTTATTGTGCAGAGGATTTTGTTGCTCCAAAGGTGCTCTTTTATATTTAATTTCTATAGAAATTCTAATAATTTTGAAATATATGTTGGTTTTTTTGGTCAAGAGTTAGTATTTAAAGTAGCAAGAGTTAACACTGAATAATAAGATGATGGAAGGTTTTGCAACTGTTGCTCTTAATTCTGTGGCAACCCTCTGAGTTCAGTAGTGTAAAGACACATGACAGAATGATAATTTTTAAGTGTTTTTACCATGGAAAATGCAGTAATCTTGAACTGTTGGCATGAGATATTTCCTGTTTTTGGTTACAAGGCTCAGTGGCTAATCTGCGACTAGTTATTGTAGTCATTGAATAAACTATGACCTCACAGGTTTACATGACCTCCCACGTGAGCCTTTGGTGGTAAGAACTTGATTTGGTTTCAAGTAACGTTTTGAAATGTTCACCAGTGACTTTGTTACCAAGAGACTAGTGAGCTCTAGTTATAGCTTCACTTAAAAAACATAAATCAATTAGGAGATTTGGGGAAAACCCCCAAAATATGTGTAAACAAAGGTTTCTACTTCTGAGCTTTTCAGATTTAACAAAGATTAATACAAAATTATGCTAAGTTTTGTGAAAAGTTTCTCTTAAATTTAATAAGCATTGAAATGCAATGTGTAGAGGGATGCCATTTATAATATTAGCAGCTGCATTTATTGTTATTTGGTGTGATCATACACTTCTAAAGGGAAGAAAAGTCCACATAGTAAAAAAGTGTTTGCTGCTTAGAGATTCTGTTCTTCTAAAGGAAGAATACCTGGATTAATGAGGGAGCAAAAAAGGGTAATATGGTCGCCTCCTGCTGCTTCGGGTTTCTGTAGGTGTCCAAATAGCTTGGGCAAGCTGGAGAACTGTTTTACCTCTCATTTTTCTTGTGATGGAAAGTTGTTGTTGACTTACTTCTATATTGTTATGAAAACTAATGAATCAATGTTTATTAAAAAGAAGGGAAAATAAAGTCCTAAGCAAAAATATTAAGGTGACTCCTCAGTAAAATCCCTCCAGAAATGAGTCTTAGGTTTGAGGTGAAAAGTCACAAAAATAGTGATCTGAAAATTATGAAAAATAAAACATTAGCACTCCATATTTTTTTCCTAATATGCATTGATTTATGGTGACTATATTGCCAAACTTACATAAAATTGAAATTTTATATACAGGCCAAGAAGGAAAGGCGTGTTTTTATTGTGGAGAATTATGGGAGAAATGAAAAATTATACCCTAGGTTTAGTTATAATAATGATGTCTTACATTGGTTAACCTATTTTTATAATTTACATAGCACTTTTACATGTGACATCTCACTTTATTCTACAGCACAAACCACCTGAAGAAGTAGGGAAGGAAGCAGATAAACTCTTCCTTACAGATGAGGCAACTTCTGAGGCCAGAAGAGTTTCCAGCCTTGAGTTGTTTGAGTCGGGTTGTGTGAGGTAGGGCAAAAGATGGGAATAAAAGGCAGAGGATATGAAATTCAAGTTGCATGTAATTTTCATATCCAAATTTAAAACTTTTAAGAAGAGAATGAGCAATTTTCTAATTTATTCTTAAAATATAAGTTACATATGTATTTATTTTTAAATATTGCTATAATGAGCAATACTAGAGTACATTACAACACTGAATTTTCCCCCCTATTAAATACGAATGAAGCCTTATTTAGAGTTATTTCATGTTCCTATGACTCCAGAGACAAGGTTTGGTCCCAGAAGGTCCTACAGAACATTCCGTGGTTCTCAGTCCTGACTTCCTGTTTGCAGCACTTGGAGAGCTTTTAAAACCACACTGCTGCCCTGGCTTCATCTTAGATGTAAAGGTAGAGCTCTGACTTTATATTCCACAGCTTGTGGATCATTTCTCCTTGACTAGCTCGTCTTACCTTAGTTTGACTCAAAATAAACTGTTTCTCATCAAGTGATGTCGGTTGTACCTGTGTTTCTATTAATGGTGCCATCATTTTCTCTGTCGCCTTGGAAACAATTTTATATTCCTCCTTCTCATTTTCTATTTTTCTTTGTCTCTCCTACTGCGCACCCCTAATATTAGTCTGTGATTAGTCACCAGGCACAGGTTCCTAGAAGTTCTTCCTTGTTAATGTTTCTTGCACCTGTCTCTGCTTTGCACTTGTACTTCGACCGGTCGTCGCAAGCTTGGTCCGTGGCACTCAGGTCATCTTCCCTGTGCCATCATTTAGCTCTTGGACCTGCAAAACATCTTACATGTTTCTAATAGTCTTATCTTTCTGAAGTGTCTTTTTGACACTTTGCAGAAATTTTCTCAGCGGTGCTCCCATGGCCAGGGAGAAAGTCCTAACTGCTTACCTGCATGAATCATGAAGGCCCCTTTCAGTCTGTCTCAGTCGGCATCTACTTGTAAATGTTCCTGTCCCCTTTCTCCCTTCACCTTTGTAACCATCTTCAAACCCTTTACAAAATG